GCCATCCGGGGCGAAAGCCATTTTTCGTAGGTTTTTCTCTCCAGCCTCCCAGGGCATTGGGACCCCACAACCACTTAGAGTCCTCTCCCCAACCATCAGCACAGGCAGCAGGAAGCTCTGTCAGACCTCTCTGGAGCTCCACACACTCCTCCACTGCAGCCTGTACTGTCAGGGGAAGAATGGCTTTCAGGGGGTCTCCCCAGGTATTGCAGAAGGTCCTCCTGGTTTCCAGCTTCCAAATGACTCTCTCGACCCAAGTCAACTAGACCTCTGAGTCTTCAGGTGTAGTCTGTATTCTTGTGTTCTCCGAGTCCTTGTTCAGCAGTTGCTCCTCCGCTGACTCTGGACATTTCTGGTTCTCAATGGCAGGGGCAACAGTGGCCTATTGTGTGGCATGTATTCCCAGGGGTTTCTCCATGTCAGGATGGTTCACACATGTTCCCGGGCGGGCCTCCACGGCTGGTGCTTGGTGGGCCAATTGTGTCATTGCTTCTCCGTGCCAAGATAGTTCTTGACCGTGTGGTGGTGGTTAAGTTGAGGGCTGGCACATGCCAGCGTGTTCTGCTGCACAGCTTTCCAGGCACCAGCTGCCCACCTCCCAGGCGCCTGCATGGCTAGGGCCCCGCCCAAAGGCCAGTGCTCTCTGCTGGGCCATTTTTGTCTTTTTGAGACAGGGTCTTGCTATGCAGTTCAGGCTGGCCTTGAACTCACTTTGTAGCTCAGGCTGGCCTCGAACTAGAAATGATCTTCCTGCCTCAGCCTCCCAAGTGCTGGGATTATAGACATGCACTACCACACCTGGCATAAGTACAATTTTTAAACTGATTGTCCTTGTCACCTTTCTCCCTATCTTCATTTCTTCTGTCCTATCTCATGTAGGTGGTGATTATGGTAAAATGAGGTCAGATGGCTGACTGTCCTTATAAGAAATCAGAACATAGGCACACATAGAGGGAAGCCTCCATGCCACGTGCCTTCGTATCAGCAAAAACAAAACAAAACAAAACAAAGCATTTCCAAGTGTGATTGAGGGGAGTGTGCTAACTGTGTGCCTAGGGCAAGTGACAAAGTGAGTGTCCCTGGAGGTCTACTTCCTGGGTTGGAGATCACTGGAGAGATTTGGTAAGGCCGTGCATGGCAAGTGCTAGGCATGGAAGTAGCACATGGTACCCTCTCAACAGTGGTACTTCTGTCTGAGAAAGCACAGAGACAGGATCCCTGAGGCATCTGGGTTGGGATGCTCTATGCCATGAGAGGAATTAAAAACAATAGTAACGGATCTTTCTTAAGCATTTTTTGGTCACCTGCATGTATTGGGCTTCCCCAGAGAAACTGGACTAATAGGACATCCAGATACACAGGAAGACGTTTATCTTGAGGGATTGGCTCTTGCAGTTACGGATGCTGAGAATCCCATGCCATGACTTGCTGTCTCCAAGCTGGAGAACCCAGAAAGCCAGGGGTGCAGCTCTGGTCCAAGTCCAAAGGCCAGCAAACAAGAGCACCTCCTGTCCCTGGGCAGGAGGAGACTGACGTCCCAGTGGAAGCAGCCCAGCAGGAAGCAAAGAGGGGTGGATTCCTCCTCCTCCTCCACATTTCTGTTCTACTGAGGTCCTCCGGGGATTGGGTGCTGGCCACCCACACTGCTTATTCAGTCCACTGATTCATAGGTGATCTCACCCAGACACATCCAGAATCATTCAGTCTGGGCACCCCTTGACAGGTGGACACGTAAAATTAACAGTCACGCTATGAGTTTATTCTTATTTATTTTTTGAGACAGAGTCTCACTATGTAGTTAAGGCTGGTCTTGAACTCCCAGTGATCCTCTTGCCTCAGCCTCCTGAGTGCTGGAATCACAAGTGTGTACCACCATGCCTGATTGTGAGTTTATTTTTATTATTTTATTTTATTTTATTGTCTTTTTGAGGCAGGGTTTCGCTATGCAGTTCAGGCTGGCCTTCAGCTCGCTTTGTAGCCCAGGCTGGACTCAAACTCTCAGCAGTCCTCCTGCCTCAGCCTCCTGAGTGCTGGGATTACAGGTATGCGCCACCATGCCGGGCCTTATTTTTGAAAAATATAAAACAATACAATAGGAAGTAAAGTGTTATCCACTACTCAGCAATAACCACTGTTAACATTAAGGCCTAATACTGCTGGTATTTATTTTCTTGTATTTTTGCGTATTTTGTTTCTTTGTTTTATAAAAAATACTCATACTACCCTTATAAGGCTCATACTCTGATTTTCACTGAAATTTTTACTATGCACACTTCTAGTAATGAAAAATTCTCTGAAAGCACAATTTTTAGCTGTTGTGCAGCATGCTGTTGTGTGAAAATGCTATTTTTTAAAGTTTAAATTGTGACTGTAACTTTTTAAATTGAACTGATGGGCCATCTGGTGTTGGGGTCAGCAAGTGTTAGCAAATCCCCTGGTGAAAGCGAAAATGCTCTTGTCACCTAACTGGTGGAATCCTACAAGGTGGAGCACTTGCGTCCAGAGCTTCCCACAGCTCTGGCAGCTTCTGGAGGGCTGCCACGAAGGTGCTTGGAAACACGGGTGTAAGTGGATGATTGGATGGGAGCTCTGGGAAGAGGGTGAGGAGCGACTGTCCAGGGGCGTGAATTGGCTGGGAGGCACCAAGAAAACCAAGCCCAGAACCTAATGTGCCTGGTTCCTGCCTTGTGGAAAAGATAAACACTTTTATGACTGGGAGACATTTGTAAAAAGTGATGACTCTACTGTAAAATCCTTTGCTTCTTTTCCTGGAAGCTTCAGGGCAGGATTCCTGTAGCATTTGCAGGGCCTGGAGGAGGAGCCCAAAGGGAGGACTCCAGTCTGTCCCACCCCCTTCTCATCCCACCTGGCTCCATCCCACCTATGAGGGGCCTTGAATTCATGGGTGTGGACCCACGTGTCCAAGCCTCTCTGCAGCTCCCTGGTTCAAAGAGCCACACCTCAAAGAGCCAGCTCTAGGAGCCTGAGGTGTGTATGCCTGTGGTGTGGTCCACCCAGGGGAGGACAGGCAGATGGAGGGATGACACGAGCCTGAATTCTGACCTGCTGGGCCGCAGGAATGTGGTTCAGGAAGCAGACAGTGGGCGCTGAGTGTCTCCCTTTGCAGGGAAAATTCCCAGCTTCCTGTTCCCAAGCAGGGATTTGATGTCTATACGTCTCTGGTGTGTTTCAGGGCTGGGCAGCCTTCTGTTTCTTTTGCATCTTTCTGTGGAGCAGTGAATTTCCATATTTCAGGTCCACACTAGCAGCATCACCTGGAAATTTATTTGAAATGCAAATCCTCTCTGCATTTGGGAATCTGCAGCTCTGGGGGTGCTTGTTAAAGCAGGGGTAGTGGGTACCTCTTTGGGCTCATCCTTAGGGAAGAGGAAACAAAGGCATCCCCAGGCAGTTCTCCTGAAGTACCTGCTCTTGGGGTCTTGTGAATAACTTGTGAGTTATTTTTAAATTTATTTTTTCTTTCCTTTGCATAAACATTCCTTTTGCACAACTCACAGGAACTGGAGGTGAAAGGAAAACCCAGAAGCCTGAGGAAGATACATACGGTTATCATTCATTCTGGCCCTACAAATACCTATGCATTGAAAGATTTGTCCTCTTACACAGCTGTGTGTGTGTGTGTATGTGTGTGTGTGTGTGTGTGTGTGTGTGTGTTGGGATCTGAGTCCAGGGTCTTGCATGTTACGTAAATGCTCTACCAGTTGGCTACCAGTAAGCCAACTCTCAGTGGGCTATTTTTGAGGAATTAAGATTGTCAGATAACGAATGGTTTAGCTTTAAGTAATTATGAAAGTGCCAAAAAGGGTAGAGTGAAAATAGCTCTAGCAATTGTTTCAAGGATCGACTTTGAGGCCTATTTGTGAGTCATGCTTTTGGGATTTTGTGTCATTTCATTCAGTAGCTTTTTGAATGATGGTGGTCTCAAGATGTTGACTCACCCCTTTCTGTCCTAATATAAAGTCAATACTCTGACAGCTGCAGGGTATTCACAGTGTATAGTGCACTTTTTAAACTTCGTATTTTTCTGATGTCTCAATGGGTGCACCAGTGTGATAAGGTTGCACCTGCCAGAGTTGCCTTTCTTATCCACTCCACTCTAACTTGGTGACACTCAAAGGTGCCAGTGAAATCCCTGAATACCTTCATTGCATGAACTCCACCCTGGCCTCCAGAGCAGGTGCTGCCCACGCCTTCCCTTTCTGGGTCTCCTTGAGCTGCTTGATTGAGTTGTGAGTTGCACCTTAAGACCTTCTCTTACAGGTCCCTGTGCGGCATGCGATGTTTCTCTCTGACCTGGGAGTATCACAAATCCCTTAATTTGTGGCCTGAGTGTGATTTCCTGGGGGGCCCTGCTCCCTCATTGATAACACGGGCATTTGCCAAGACATTAATGCTGTGATTTCAACCACTGTCACTTTGTGTGTTTAGTGCCTGCCTTTAGTAAATTACAGTTGCTAAAGAAAACCACTGCCAATGCTAACAGGAGCACCACAGCAGGGTGGGAGAACAGGAAGTGGAACCTGTGTATTATGAGCAGAAAGACTGTGACAAATCACAGTGACCTTTTGGTCTGAAGGTGAGAAGAGTGACTGTCATTGCAGCTGAGTTAGGTATGTACTTCAGAGTTTAAGTTTCATTTTAACCAGTGGTGGAGCACTTGCCTGGCATGCATGAGGCCGAGGGTTCCATCACTGGTACTAGCAAAAAGAAAGAAGAAAATCGTTTTCCAAACCCAGGACAGAAAACTGCTCCCAGAGTGTGAGGCCCCCATTTTCCTGCCTCACGGGACCTTTGCATTTTACCCAGGGCTGAGCACACTGAGACATTTTAGAAAAGGGAGCAGAGCTGAGCTGGCGCACGGTGGCTGGAAGTAAGAATGCGCGCAGGATCGGGGCAGGCAGCTGAGACCGGAGGCCTGACGGTGCTGCCCATCCTGCCCACGCAGGGCAGGCACCGGTGAAACAACCACACTCATGGGCTGTGGTCACTGTAGCTAGGTTTAATTTCAGTCAGATAGTAAACACGTACAAACTTCTTATACAACAAAACAAGTACATGCGAAGTTACAAATATAGAAAATATAAAGTACATGCATATTTCCAAGACCAGTTAGTGGTGTCCACTTTGGACTTTTATACAAAACTGTTCAGTGCACATTATAAGCTTAAGGGCTATGCAAAAGGGTTCCCACATTTTAGGTTTATTTAATGCCTTACAAAATGGCTAATGCATTAGACACTTCAGATGTTACTGCTCTAAACAAAACTTCTAAGTTTGCCATATGCAATATGTATTTTACAGATACGTTTTACATAGAATACCCACATAGTGCAAGCCAATAACATTGCAGAATAGTAATAGATATTTGCTAGGTGACAGTACTAAATAATTTAGTGAAGAATTGACCTTAATTTGACAATAGTAATAGAATTTCTTCTTCCACTTGGAATGGATATTTCTGTCATCTGCAACTTATTTTTTTAGATTGTCTCCTTGTTCTTTGATTTAAAAGCAAATTATAGGAACTAAGGACTCGACCTAATTCTGGTTTTGCACAATTCTGAGGCAGAAATGAAGAAACGTGAGCCTTCTGGCCTGCACCGTGACACTTTTTCTTACGTAATCCTCCAGAGGCCCGTGCTTTGCAACTGCAGCTTTCCCGGGAGTTGCCATCTCCTGGTTCCTCCCAAACAAGGCTAAAATCATTCTAGTGTCCAGTAAATGAACAAAGAAACTTTGCCTTCAGTGCGTAGAAGGTAAGTAATTTCTGTGCTGCCTCGGGTACCTGTGTTTATGTTTCTAAAGAAAGGGTGCCGCGTGTGGATGCCTTACCCATCCCACACGGGAGGCTGTCTCCAAGGGCAACATTCGTAAACGCTGGCGCCTTCAGTCCCAGAAGCCTCCGGTCTGTGTCACAGTCACGCTCACCTTCTGTGAGTGTGGCCTCCGCTTGGAGGCCTAGGGTTGCAGTTTTTTCCTCTTGATGCAGCAACTGCTGTGCAGCCCCCATGGCAAAGGCTCTCTGTGGACACAGGACATATTCCCGCAGGCTGAGCTTGCAGCCCGAGGGTGAAGGATTTCTATTGTTTGCTTTTCCATCTTTTGAATGAGTATCATGTGGCCTTTTCTTAAAATTCGGCAGAAATGCTGTGAGGTTTTCTTAGAGTGGAAGAGAAAAAATTTCCAAACTGCTATAAAAATCATTGCTAAGCTGCAACATTCATGTCCTGAGCTCTGGCTACTGAAGGAGCCACAGAAGTTCAGGCAAAGATATTTGACAACTGGAGATCTGCTTCAGCCTCAACCCGGTGCACTAGGCCAAAAATAAACCTACACTAACCGCTGATTATTTGCTGTTATACTCTTACCGGCCTGCAATGGCCAACGAAGGACTCAAAGGGGCCTTGAATAAATAGCATCTGGGTCTACCCTACGTTTTCCAGTGCCCTTTGGTGCCAAGGGTATTAGCCTATAGGGGACAAAGAGAGAAGCAAGAATGAGATGCCACCACTAAAAGGGCTGCAGCTGGATACCCCTCCCCCAACCTGGACCAAGATGAAGAAGATGGTACAAATAGGAAGTCTTCCTCATCCAACTATCAGGAAAATGAGGAAGGAGATGAGGAGGATCACAGGTGGGGAGGAGAAGAGCACCAAGCCAGCCCTGCCGTGGTAGTAGTAGGCCCGCGACTCCTTCTGGTATTGCGTGGTGCACATCTGCTCCAGCACGCGCTCCATTATCTTCACATCGGTCTCGGTGAAGTTCTCCCCTTTAGTGGTGGTGGTGACCGTGTGCTGCTTGATCGTGATATTGACGCAGTCCTGCACAAAGCTGTTCTGGCTGTTGTACTGATCCACAGGCTTGTAGTACACTTGGTTGGGGTAACGGTACATGTTTTCACGGTAGTAACGGTCCTCGTAGTCATTGCTGAAATGAATGAGGGGCCTGCTCATGGCGCTCCCCAGCATGTAGCCGCCGAGACCCCCCACTACTGCCCCAGCCGCCGCGGCACCCGCCACGTGCTTCATGTTGGTTTTGGGCTTACTGGGTTTGTTCCACTGACTGTAGCTGCCACCTCCATGACCCCAGCCACCACCATGGGGCTGGCCCCAGCCACCGCCGTGGGGCTGGCCCCAGCTACCGCCGTGAGGCTGTCCCCAGCCACCACCATGGGGCTGGCCCCAGGTCCCCCCGCTGTGGGATGGGTAACGGCTGCCCCCAGTGTTCCACCCTCCTCCTGGTTTTGGTCGCTTCTTGCAGAGGCCAGAGTCACTCCATGTAGCCACAAAAAGAACCAGCAGCCAGCAGCCAGCCTTCACCATGATGAATGCTCTGCAAAAGGAAGAAGAAGGCATCAGTGTCCTGCATTTATGTTGAAAGCACTTGACGCCTGCTGCATAATGGATGAACACGCAGCAATAGCAACAGCCGCTTGGTCATAAACTTCTCATATCCTGGGCCTTTCCTGGACAGCACTTAGGAGAAAAGTGATCAGAAGTAAAGAGAAGCGTAACTTATTTTTTTTTTTAGAGTAGGAAATATAAATTGAGAGAAAGACAGCTCCTGCCTAAGAGAAACAGAACAGGACCCAGAAGGTGGGTTGCCCCCATGCCTCATTTTTGTTCTCTGGGGCAAATTTGAAGTTTCTAGCTCTGTTTCCTAGAAATTTGGTAAGGTGGAATGCCAGCAACATCGTTTAGAGAAAACATAACCTCCAATTGGCTAATTGCACCTTGTCTGGGAGGAACTATTTCCCCTTACCCTCTACCCAGTGGGCTGGCCATGGCTTTGAGCTTCTTAGACAGGTGGTTCTTGGAACCAGGCACGTTCTTGTGAGAACCCTGGAAGCTGTACCATTGGCTATCAGGTTCTAAAGGGTACTGACCTTCTATACCAAGGGGATCCCTTTACCCACCAATGTGGATCTAATTTTCTGAACCAGAGCAGTCACAGGCAGGTGTTAGGTGTGGACACCACCCTGAGTCAAGGGCTGCTGTGTGGACACCAAGTGTGGCCATGGAAGTCTTATAAGTCCCATGCCTAGTTAGGAAGCACCCCAGGTGGGTGCTGGGGATTAAGTAACTCTGAAATAGCTGTATCTCTCTTCTCTGGCAGGGATATGGCAAGGAGGGAATAAGTCTCGCTTGTTTGCAGCTGTGTCCTTGGGGACAGGGGCAGTGACTGGCACCCACCAGGACACATCAGATTTTGTTAAGTGAAGCAATCAATGTCCCTGAATTTATAAATGCCAAGAAGGGTTTCCTCAAAGAAATTCTCAGTACAATTTTACTAGAAAAAGGAAACACCTAGGATTTTGCAAGTTTACTTGTAAACTCATTGCTTTCTCTATAGAGGACGGACAGAGATACTTAAAGTGGGCAGCATTCACAGTAAGTGCAGCCACACACTTGCTGAGTGTTTCAGTTCAGCATTTGATAGTTTGTAAGTGATTTCTTCTAGCTTTTGGTACCAGAGAAATCTTTTTTGTGTGTGTGTGGTTTTTTTTTTTTCCCGTACCAGGAATCAAACTCACAACCTTGCACTTGCCAGGCAGGTGCTGTGCCGCTGAGCTAAATCCCCAGCCCCTCAGAGAAATCTTATATACCAGGGCTAGCACGTTTAGAAAACAACAAACAAGCCAAATATCACAATTTATGACCCTTTGCAGAATGTCCTTCATCAAATTACAAACCTCCTTTCAGATTAAATACCTCATTTAACCTCAGTGCTTAGTTCCAAGGGCAGAGGCCAAAGACAGAGTAGAAAAAGATAAACAGTACCACTAGGTCAAATCACATGATCCAGGGGCTGGGGATTTAGCTCAGCGGCAAAGTGCCTGCCTGGCAAGCGCAAGGTCGTGAGTTCAGTTCCCAGCACCGGAGAGGAAAAAAAAAAAAAAAAGAAATAAAAACAAATCACATGATCCAAAGTATCACTGTGTCGCAAAACCTAGAATGGCACATGCTGCCGTGCTGCAGTTAGTCTGGTGCCCAGCAATGGGGTTACTATAGAATTTCTAAGAATTAGAAAATTAGTTTTCATATCCTGTGCAGCTAGTGACTAAACTGGGTAATAGCTATAGGAAGAATTATTAAACAAAGAAGTGAGTTCACATCCTGTCTATGTTTCCATTAACCTTACTGAAATCGGAAGTGCTGTCTTGGTGGTCATCAGTAAGAGTGTATTTGAGAAGTACTAGTGAAATTACTCAGTCTTACCAGTTAGCGTTTTGAAGGCCTGGTTGGGTGGGGTCACAGGCGCAGGGTTGGGGATATGCTCACGGCCCCATTCCTGCTCCTGCACCCTCAGTCCCCAGTCTCCTGCACTCCTCCTTCCGTGGCTGACTCCCCGCTTCTTTGTGGGGCGCAGCTCTCAGCCTATGCTGTTCACACACCCTAGGGAACCCGACTAGGGGACTGTTCCCTTGGTTAACAGCTCCCATTCAAAGGGTTTTTTAAGTCCATTACTATTCATCCCACCCAACCTCAGAGAGTCAATCCAGCCAACACCCTGGAGTTAGTCTTGAATTTTTCTCTAGCAGTTTGTTTGGTCTATCTGCAGAGCCTACAGGCTCGATCCTGAGTAAATGCTAAGCCCCTGGGCCTTTCCGTCTCCCAACACGGCTGTATGAGCTAAGCCTCCACCCGGTCTCCCCAAGTTCTCCTGCAGCCTCTCTGCTTCCCGCCAGCCTGCACTGGTGCTCTCCACACGAAGTCCTGACCATGTGGCCCTCCTCTGTCCACCTCCAGCCCTTCCTCCGACCCAGCAAACATGTCACAGCTCCGGGCCTTTGCAGCTGCTGTCCCCTCCCAGCAACTCACATGTCTTCACACTGATTTCCCTATGACAGTGCCCCACCCTCACCTATCCTGCTTCGCTTTTTTCCAAAGCAGTCATGGCTACTCGGTATCTTATTTACTGTATGCTTATTATTTTGCCTGATTCATAAACATGCAAAATAAATCCCGAGTGGATGAAAAACTGTGAAAATACTAATGGTAAGGCATGAAAAGAATAAGCAAACTATAAAAATAAAGTATTTATAATGGGTGTCTAAAGAGAACCCTATTTATAAATTTACAGAATGCTCTCCTCTGTAAAGGCCAGCAGATAGCTTAAAAAAAAAGCTGGGCTCTGCAAATGCCTGGAGACACCGCCTAGTGAGGAGGCCCAGAGGACAGGTGCTGGGCGCAGAAGGTGGCGGGGCCCGAACAGCATGTGGAGGGCAGGCGGGCAGTGTGCAGCACAGGCGGGTTGCAGAAGCACTGCGTTTTTTTTTTGGCGGGGGCGGTCAGGTAAGGGCCTCACATGCCAGGCAGGCAGGCATCCCAACAGCCCGCACAGTGTACGCCGGCCGCCCCTGTGCCAACACTATTAGTGCCCAGTGTCCTGGCTGGATGCTGGATGCTGGATTGAGTGCTGGTCTAACGATAAGGCGAGGGAGTCTGTCTGGTCTTGAGCCAAAGGCACTGGAGGTGGGGTTCTTGGGTTCTTTTTCAGGAAGAGTATCCTGGAAAATGGACTTGGGACGAGAGTGTATGTGTGTGTGTGTGTGTGTGTGCGTGTTTGTGTGTTTGTGTGTCTGTGTGCGTGCGCATGTGAGGCAGGCAGGAGGCAGGGAAACTAGTTACTAGGTTGGCACAGTGGGGGAGGTAAAAGAAGCTGGTGGGCTTGGCCAGGGGAAGGAGATTCAGGGATGGCAGTGTGACCCACAGGCGCCTCTGGAAGCTCAGGATTTGACTTGGAAGAGGTGAGCTGGCACTCAGGTTTCTGTACTAGGCAACTGCGTGGCACGGACATGATACAGAATGGACAGCTAGCCTGGAGGGAGACGAAGAAGGGGCCTGGCTTTGGCAACGCTGTCAAGCTACATGTGGGAGCACAGATAATAGCAGACCGTGAGCTTCGTGGCTCTGGAACTGAGGAACAACCATGAACTAGACATCCAGCTCTGGGCGCTGTCCCCGTAGGGACAACGGATGGCAGAGCCGGCCACAGAGCTACTGCTGGCCAGTGAGCTACTGAAACCAAATACTGATAATTGGGTAAGTCAGATAACTGCAGAATGTATCATTTCAAAATCAGTTGAGAAGAAGAAAAGCAATATTTAATTATGAAGAGAATTGAAATAATGACTTCATTTAGAGGATCATTTCGAAAGGGGGACTCAAAACTTACATGAGAGCTATAAGTGTATCTTTCTATTTGTAATAAATTAGGAAGAGCTTATATTATTTACTCCAAACTCTCACTCTACAAATCAGGCCACCATGACTGACGATTCGTGAAATTGCTGGGACTGCAGACTGGGTCCGAGTCCTGGGCAGCACTATGACATTACTCATCTCAGATGCTCCCTGGACACAGTCAGGCTATGGCCTAGTCCTCTGGTACTGTTCAAGGTCTTCTAGTAAGTATTTCACCAAGGTCAATACCTGTTTAGCATGAAGAATACTAAGAATTCTCTTTAAAGAATAACAGTAAAAGAAAACTCTCCTAATTTGATAATTATACAACCAAAACAGCAAACATGATAGATAACCCTGAATACATTCCTTTAACGATCAGAACAGTCCACTGTTCCAGGGCTGAAGAGCACGTCTGTGCCATATATAAATAAAGACCAAGAAGTAGAAAGTGAAAGAACCACAGGGGAACAGCTTGTGCTGATGTTATCTGCAATGAATATGACCACATATGTAAAAAATCCAACAGAATCAACAGAGGTAAAGTGAGAACCAATGCTAAAGTTCAGCCAGGTCACAGATACAAAATCAGCTTACAGAAAACAACAGCATTTTTCCTGAACAGCCCACAACTGACTGGAGGAAAAAACCCCAGATATTCACAATAGCAAGAAAATGTACAACACCCAGGAATTGACTTAGAAGAGATTTCTCTGTGGGAAAAGTTAAAACTTTCAAAAACAGAACATACAAAATGATCTGAAAGGTGGAAAGGCATACCATCTTTCTTATTTCATTTATCTCACTGTTAGAATGTCAAGTACCTCCAAATGGACTGAAAATTTCAATAAAATGCTGCTCAAAATTCCAGGTAGACTTTTTTTGAGGGGTTCCATAAACTCACATGGGAAAGGATGAATAGCAAAATTAAGCTCAGAATGGAAGAGTAAAGAGGAGAAACTGCACAATATTAGACATAAATCATATAACAAAGCCACAGTAATCAGGACCAGATGGGAAAGATTCAGGCACAGACCAAGGGACCAAAGAAAACAGAGTAAGTTCAGAGATAAGCACATGTGTGTACATCGTAACAAGGACTTGATATTCGATAAAGTGGGCACCACAAATCAGTGTAGGAGGTCTGACCCTGTGGGAAAGCTGGAGCAAAATAAAAATAAATAAAACTGCTCCCTAACACCACATACAAGAGTAGACTTTAGCTAGGTGCGGCAGTTCATACTTGTAACCCTAGCTACTTGGCAGGCTGAGGCAGGAGAAGCGTAAGTTTGAGGCCAGCCTGGATGGCTTAGTGAGATTTTATTTCAAAATAAAATTAAAAAGGTCCATAGAGTACAGTTGGGTTCATTTTCCAGTACTGAGAAGAAGAAGAAAAGAGTAGACTATCGATGATCTAAATGCAAAAGGTAAAAGTATGGTGTCAGATGGAGAAAACATAGGCACATGTCTTCGTGACCTGAAGGAGGCACGAGGAAAGGACATTCTAGACAAAAAGCACAAACTCAAAGGCAAGTAAGTGATGAGTCTGATTACATAAAAATTAAGAATTCTTTTTCAACGTTTTGAGGAATACTATCAACAAAGGTAAAAGAAAGTGGACACAGAAGTAAAAAGTATTTGTAGATTTTAAAACCAACAGAGGATTCATTTATTTGTAGAATCTACAAGGAATTGCTGCAAAGCAGTAAGAGACAGTAAGTCCATTGGATGGATGGCCAAAAGGTATAAACCGATAATTTTCAGCAATGGGAAGTGCAAAAGGATATAGAAAGATACTCAAAATCATCAAGAACCTGACCAATGAGACAAAAATGATATATCACTTACACCAGGCTGGGACAAAAAAAGAAGCTGAGTGACAGCAAGAGAGCCGGGGTGTGGAGTTACAAGGAGCTATGTGGCTCTCAGAGGACCATGGTGGGTACAACTGAACACATAGGACGAGAATAAACCAAATGACTGTGTGACTCAAAAAAATTAAAACACCCAAAAAGCAGAAAGAGAAAAATTCGTAATAAACTGTCAAAGTAATAAAGAAATAATAGAGATAAAAATAGAATTTAATAAATAAAACCCCCCAAAATGTCAACCTCTAAATAAAATCAAGATTATTTGAAGCATCACTGGAGATGCTGCCCCAGCAAGGATTAAGGCAGTTCTCATGGGAGTGAGTTAATTCTCTGGAGAGGGAGTTATTATAAAATTGAGCTCAGCCTTGCATCACTTTTTGGATTCCTGTCTGGTGATATACTTTCTCCTTATGTATGTAAGGAGATGGTACCACCTTATGTATATAAGGAGATGGTACCACCACTGTGGTACCATCCAGCATGAGGCCTTTGCATGGCCCAAGCTGATGCCAACTCTGTGCTCTCAAGCCTCCAGAATAAACAAACTTCTCTTTATAAAGTCACCCAGCCTCGGGTATTTTGTTACAGCAACAGAAAACAAAGCAACCCAAATAGTTTCATACATATCTTAAATGGACACAGAAGTCTAAGGTTCTTAGACTTAAGTCTAAGGTTCTCAGACTGGGTCACACGTCTAAGGTTCTAGTATTGTATGGGGGGGTGCTGAGTTCACAAAGGTGAGTATAATATTTAGCTTGGTGGGTTCAAGGATTGAAAAAGATGTCACTGTGTCTGGAGCCTTATGAGACAGAGGGCAAGCAGACTGCAAGACTGTGGTTAAGAATCTTGAAAGAGTAACAGGAAAGCAGCTCATCCTAATCACAGTGCAAAGAAAAAAATGCAGTGGGGCAAGAAAGGGAGTGGAGAAATCAGTTCGGAGGAAGATGGCAGCATGTCATGGGATGGTGCAGATGTGCCTGATGACTTGTCAATAAATGAGATTATTTTGTAGAGATAGCCAGTCAGACTTGCTGATAGACTGATAAGTGAGAGCTGCCCAGGCTTGTGGCTTTTGTAACAGGTAGGCAGATGAAGAAAGTGCCTCTGAAATAAGAGCAATGGGTGGAGGCTGTGGTTGGGCAACAAAACCAAGAGTTTTACTTTGGACCCACAGACTGTGCCATATCTCTGAGATACTCAAGTGTGGATATCAGCATAGGCAATTACTGTAAGAATGTGGACTTCAGTGGGGCAAGACATTTGGGTATCTCCACCTGTGATTTAGTGTTCATAGGCAACAGGATAAAGGGTCAGGATTCAAACCCCTGTGTGAAGAGTGGCCCTCAGGCATCTTGCTGCCCAGCCTCCAGCAACAGGGTGGGCGCAGCCAAAGGACAGTATCATCCAACCAATTTTATTTTATTTTTTATCATCTAACCAATTTTAATAGTTCAGCTAAAGAGAATAGACTGTGACTAGTAAGGATTATTTTACGAACTAAAAATTGGCTCAACAATCAGGGAATCTATTAATAAGTGAAGGAAAGAAAAACTGAAGATTAACACCAATCAACACCAATTCCTGATTCTTTTAGAAGCTCAAGCTACTTTTAAAACTTTGTGTAGGGAGCTGGGCATGGTGGCACGCAACTGTAACACCAGCTACTCAGGAGGCTCAGGGAAGAGGACTGCAAATTCCCATCAGCTTGGCAACTCTCAAAATAAAAAGGGCCGCGGAGGTAGCTCAGTGCTACAGTGCCTGCCAGCATGCCTGAGGCCTTGGTTTCAATTCCCAGCACCACCAAAAAAAAAAGAAAAAAAGGACTGGGGATATAGCTCAGGGGCACAGCATCTGCCTGGCAAGCACAAAGTCCTGAGTTTGATTCCTGAAACCAAAAAAAAAAAAAAAATTTCATAGATGGTGGGGAGTGTGGCTCAGTGATAGGGCCTGGGTTCAGTCCAGCATCACACACAAAATTTGTGTCACATTGGTATGGTCGGTCCCTTTCCATCAAGAGGGGCTATCACAAACGCAGTCTGCATCCTACAGTGACTTAAAGAGGAAAGGCATTCTGATTAATGTGATGAACAAAGGAATAATGTAACCTATTGCTGTTATAACTTTAGATTGTTCTGAAAGTTCATATAAGTGAACTTTCTACCTGGAAAATTCACAAAAACTACCCCCAAAAGATCTTAAATAAGTGAGTTCATTAAGGAGATAATTCTGTACATCAACACATAAAAAACTAGTGAGTCCATAAGTCAGCTGTAATTATTTCAAAGACTTACTGGCAATAAAATAATAGCAGTAAAAATTCAAAATGCCTAGGATTTATCTTCAAAGTAAACAGCAGAACTTATATGAAGAAAGCTATAAAATTTTACTGAGACATAAAAAAAGACTGGAAAAAGAGAATAGTTTTTGCATGGGAAAACAGTATTGAAAGATACCAAATTTACTTTCAAATAACCCGAAAGTCAACATGATTTTGTCAAAATTCACAAAGAAAATTATTCAAAACATGCTGAAATGATAAAAATTAAAAGGTCTAGTAGAGATGTAGCTCAATCATACAGCACTTGCCTAGCATGAGGCCCTGGGCTCAATCCTCAGTACTTAAAAAATAACCAGAAATGGTTTTTTTTTTTTTGGTACTGGGAATGGTACTCATGACCTCAGGCTTGCCAGGCAAGCACTTATGCCGCTGAGCTACATCCCTGGCCCCAGAAATAGTTTTGAATGAGATGGAAATCCAGAGTACACTTGGTCAGCCAGGCATTACAATACAAAGGTACAATAAAATCACGTGACATCAGTTGCAACAGCAGAATGGCAGAGCCCTGGAACTAGAGAGAAGGTACAAAAAGATCCAGAAATTACCTCATTTATCCCATTCGCTTTTGTCAATGGGGACTGAGTATGAGCAGGTTAGAATTTGTTCCAAGATCACAACAGCCCAAGATGATGGAAATGAGATCTAAATACAGGGAGCAAAGTCTTCTGGCCAGGTAAGGTAGTGGACTGACAACCAACCCTCAACTCAGAGCAATACACTACAGCTTAAAGATGCACTGGCTCAACGATCAAAACAGTACCCCCCTCCCCACACACCTCAGGGTCCTCAGGGAGATATTTTCTCTCTCTGGAGGCAAGTAGAACCCATTTGTCATATTTTCATCTTTTTAAGTCATTGACCCTTAAAAAATTTGATGCAAGCCATGCAGTCTTTTGGGGAAAGATCAGAGTAGGCTTTTTTTTTTTTTTTTTTTTTACTGGTACCTTACAGCCCAGCCCTGAATTAAAAGGAGCAAACTTTTAAAAAACAACAGTGCTAGAACCCAACACAGTAAAACCTGAGAGTGTCCAGCAGTGGTATTTATGAGGCAATAACAGCTTCCTAGGAGACTGGCACTCCAGTCAGGTTTCACAGCTAGGTCCTCAGGAATCTAACACTTAATATTTATTACTGTCTTTCATAAAATGGCACTTCCTAGAAGTGATCACACATACACAGGACAAAAAGGACTGTTTAACACACACTACCATAACAGCAATAAATAGAATACAGTAGGACAAAAAGGGTTATTTAACAAGTTGGGGCCAAAACTCTTCCAATTGTAAGGGCTGCTGCTACATGCGCTATTCATTTGAGGATTATAATGCTGTAGCCATCCAGGGTTAGCCACAGGCGTGCTTTGAATGTTTAATATGCAGCCGTTCACAGCTGATATTGTTGCCTTAGAAAAGAAATAAGATCTGGAAAGGGAGACCGGAATGAGTAAGTTAAAACTTCAGTTTAGAAAAACCTTTCACCTTGGCTTTGTCAGCTGGTTGAGAGTCACAGTCATTGTCAATTTGGTGCCGAAAGTTTTAGTTATTGTCATTTTATTACATGATTTTCTAAACAGTTGCTCGCTTACACAGTTCTGCGTAATTCTAGAGCAAGCTGTGGTCCTTGCTCTGGAAAATCAAGCTGCTTTTATAAGAAATGAGGAAGCCCTAAGTGTATTACACATTACCAAATTGCTGTGAGAGCGAGGGCTGTGATTACACTCTTTCCCACTCCTGTTTCCTGGAACAGGCGTCAGATTCCAACCATCACAGGGCCAGATTCCCTGGGGTGCACACAATCTGTTGTGACTCACCTGGCTTTGACCAGTGCCTCTGGGAAGACAGAATGCTTTGGCTTGGCCTAAATCGTTCAGTTTTCAAATATTTCAGGCGTCCTTCAAAACAGTAATAAAAAACAAGAATTGTTAAATGAATCTAAGACCTGATTCTTTTTTTTTTTTTTTCTTTTGTCTTTTTGAGACAGGGTCTCACAATGCAGTTCAGGCTGGCCTTGAGCTCACTTTGTAGCCCAGGCTGGCCTCGAACTCTCACTCCTGCTGCCTCAGCTCCCAGAGTGCCAGGGGGGATTTATTTTAAAAATGGAAACTTGCCCCATCGTTCAATCTCCACGCTGTAAATAAGTAAATAAATAAATGACTAAAAATTAAAACGTGAATTATTTTAAAAATGACATTATTTATTGAAAGTTATATATCAACGAGAGCTATGATCATATATAATTTCTATTAATACTTCCCAGGCTCTTCCTTCATGTCTGGGTAAACAGGCACGGGTTTTAGTGAGTCACACTTTGACTTGTTGGTTTTTCTCCAGGTAGAACAAGCTCCAAAAACATGAGTTTTGACAGTTATGTAACATTAGTTCCTTTCAGTTATGTGTCATGATTTTCTTAGCTGCCCTGCTGTTATACATTTAGGTTCTCACTTGGTTCTAATTTTAGATTATTCTGCTTGGAATGGATAACTGCATTTGGCTTTTTCTTTTTTTCCTTGTTTATTTCATCCATCACAGGTAAATTCCCAGAAGTAGGTTTTTGGGTCACAGCTTCCAATTAATGTGTCACCCAATTGCTTTTATAAAAGGTTTGTACTGATTCACAACTGATTCACAATGTCCCTGGTGGGGTATGAACAGGAAGCAGAACAAAGCATTTGTACCAAGGGTCAGTTTTACATAGATGGTTAAAGTTAATCTTTGCAACAGACCCAGGAAACAGTTATAATTTTCTCCTCTTCACAGACTAAAGGAAAGGGAGGAAATTGGGAAGCTATCCAGTCACAAAAGGGTTGCACAGCCGTCAAACCACAAAGCCCTCTGCCCTGCCCAGAGCGCTGAACACACCTATTTCCCGACTTCTCCACACCTTACCAGAAGGAGGTGCCGCTAAGGTTGTTTTTATTAATTTAATGGATGTAAAATGATAACCCAAACCTGCTTTAGTCTGCATTTTATTCTGTAACTTACTCATCATTTTTAAAAAATTAACTTTATGGTACAATTTAGATACATGGAATGATCACATTCATCACAGGGAATTTGTACCTGTACGTGCTGTATCTTGATTCCTCTTTTCCCCTGCCCTCCCTTCAACCCCTCTTCCCCTCTGTATTTACAGAGGCTTGTTTCCATTTCACCCCTTTCTCTTTTTTTTCTTGTTCCTTCCTTCCTTTCTCCTTCCCCCACCCTAGTTCCCCTTCTCATTTGAACAATTTCTTCCTATTTCACAATGTCTATTATACATTTTGGTTCTTATTTACGCTTTTAGTTTCTCACACCAGACAGACATGTCTTATTTCATTTAAGAGTATGGTCTAAGAGTATTCACAAGCAGGGAAAGCTTGAGTCTCATACAAGTAATGTGCTTATCACATCCTCATTCCTGTTTCCTTTCCCTTTCCCCGAAAAGGCTAACAATTGTTTCTCACATTAAGATCTTCGAGTTAAAAAAAAAAAAAAAAAGATCTTCAAGTAGCCGGGCCTGGCGGTGCACACCTGTAATCCCAGCACTTGGGAGGCTGAGGCAGGAGGATCGTTACAAATTCGAGGCCAGCCTGGGCTACAAAGTGAGCTCAAAGCCAGCCTGAACTGCATTGCGAGACCCTGTCTCAAAAAAGACAAAAAAAAAAAAAAAAGATCTCCAGTGATCCAGGCAAGGTGGCTCATGCCTGTAATCGCAGCACTTTGGGAGGCTGAGGTAGAAGGGTCGAAAGTTCCAATCTCAGCCTGGGCAATTTAGCGAGATCCTGTCTCAGAATAAAAAATATAAAGGGCTGGGGATGTAGCTCAGACTGGGTTCAACTCTTAGTACCACCAAAATCAAAGTGTTTATGTAGATAAAACTGTTCCTTTCCTTGATTTTTTTTTTCCTTTTTCAAACCTGTCATTAATTTCTCCAGGTGCCTGTCATCTCTAATTTTTTGTTCCTATTTTTCAGATAATTAGATTTATATAACTCTTTAATCCTATTCTACCTGGAGTTTTTTGTAAGGAACATGGAACCACATCAAACGTTTAGCACATAGGTAACTGCTTAGTAATCCAAGGTATGCTCAATACAAGAAAAACACGCAGCCATGAGTGAGGATAATCACAGCACAGGGAGCGAAACTGCACTGCGTTGTGCTTGAGGCTGAAAACGATAAAGCAGTGATTTTGCCATGGCGAGCATAATGTGAAGGAGACGGAATTGCGCGGTGGAATTATTTTCTCTACCGCTATTATAGAGAAAAAAGGGGGAAATCAAAAGGGCAGTAAAAATCAATCCGCCTCCGGTTGTTTGATAGACGCCTCCTGCCCAGGTGGAGGAGGCCCGGGTCCCTTCCTTTGCAGCCCCCGAAATCCGAGTCGTCCCCCAGCGGGTGGCACAGATGTGACGAGCGCAGCGGGGAGTCAGCGGTCACAGCCTGGGAGCAGACAACCCTCCTCGGCAGCCGGGCGACCCCGGTCCCGCGAGCTGGAAAGCGGAGGCTGGGAGACCCCGCCCCTCAGGGACCAGAGGCCCCGCCCCGAGCCCGGGCTGGGTCCCCAAGGTGTCTGCGGCGCGCGGCTGCGCCCCGGGACTGCCGCGCCGGGGATGCGGGCGGGGCCGAGAGCGGC